ACCAACACAGCACCAGATCCCCCTCTTGCCCAAGAACCCAAAATGGTCCCTGGACCCTGATGATCAGAATAGTTGTGCTCACCAACACAGCAGGAGAAAGAATAGTTTTCCTCTTAGACCACAAAGAGGACCAAGGAAAGTCAGATTTAGTGGCCCTTACCAATGCATTTTCAAAAACCTGCACCTTGCCTGTCCTCTTAGACCACAAAGAGGACTGAGAAAAATCGGATTTAGTGGCCCTTATCGACGCATTCTTGAAAATCTGTTAGAGTCCTAAGCATTTTTTCCTGTTAGTATTGGGACCTTACTCTTGTCCCATAAAGATGTTATGCCTCAAAATGGAGTGGAGGGCCATACCCTGAGGGAGGGAAGGGATATCCAGGGTTGGAAGAGTGATACCTTTTGTCCTCAATTGTCATCATACAAATAGGAAGGATGTTATTTCTGAGGTTCCTCAGATCCTAGCTTCAGGAATAGCTTTTGTTAGGCCTACTAGTCTGAAGAGGTATCCTAAAATTCCAGATAGTCCCCCCCACCAATGGGACTTTGGGCAAAAAATATGTCTTTCTGATTGTTGAGCCCAGGTGCCTAAAGAAAGGAACAGAGTCCCGAAATTTATACTAGAAATCATTCTTATAGGAGAAACTAGAAAAGCACCAGAGACAGGGAATTGTTTTTAGAAGTGGGACTAGCCTTGGAGAAGAGAGGCAGGGGGAAGTTTGTCTGACAGGCAATAGAATGCAGGAGGCAAGGGTTGGGCTAGACAGGATAGATGGGCAAGTCTTGCTTGGGCTACGTGACTTTGAGAGCTCCGCTCATGGCTACAGGGTCAACCAACTTTCTGTCAGGACCCCAGAGCTGAATGGCTTTCCTCTCTGTTGACCCTCGGGCTCAGCCCAGAAGTACAGAAAAAGCGGAAGCTGGTTCCAGGCAAACCAATGCTCCCAACTCTGAAGAGTCAGGGGTTGTTAGAGAGTCCTTTCCCAGAAAGCCTGACACCCATGTCTTTAGTCTGATGGCCACGCTAGTCACTTTTAACTGGCCAACAGGTGCCCATTGTTTAGCCTCCAAATTCTAAAGAAAAATAGGACAGAATAGCAAGTGAAAGGGGCCCAATGGTACTCACCACTTGGCGATAGTCCCTTCGTGGTTGACAAGATGTGTCCGGAGTTGGTTCCTTCTGGTGGGTTCTTGGTCTCACTGACTTCAAGAATGAAGCTGCAGACCTTCGCCGTGAGTGTTATAGCTCTTTAAAGTGGCACGGACCCAAAGAGTGAGCAGCAGCAAGATTTATTGTGAAGAGCAAAAGAACAAAACTTCTGCAGCATGGAACGGGACCCGAGTGGGTTGCCACTGCTGGCTGGGGTGGCCAGCTTTGATCCCCTTATTTGTTCCCACCCATGTCCTGCTGATTGGTCCATTTTACAGAGTGCTATTTGGTCCATTTTAGAGAGATAGAATAGGTCCATTTTACAGAGTGCTGATAGGTGCATTTACAATCCTCTAGCTAGACACAGAGTGCTGATTGATGCATTTTTACAGGGTGCTGATTGGTGCATTTACAATCCTTTAGCTAGACACAGAGTGCTGATTGGTGCATTTACAATCCTCCAGCTAGACAGAAAAGTTCTCCAAGTCTGCACTTGACACACGAAGTCCAGCTGGCTTCACCTCTCATCATGAGGGAGAATCCATACCAGTGCCAATGACAAATGGGGGTAGCCTGGGGCCACAGCTCCCATGCTGGGGTTCTGGTAGGCTTGCCCACAGGCAATTGCCTGGGACAAGTCCTAAACTAAAGAGCACCAGAAGCAATTTGTATTAGTCTGTTCTCACACTGCTATAAAGAACTATCTAAGATGGGTAATTTATGAAGAAAAAAGGTTTAATCTGTTGTGGGAAGTCAGGGACCCTGAACGGAGGGACTGGCTGAAGCCACAGCAGAAGAACATAAATTGTGAAGATTTCATGGACATTTATTAGTTCCCCAGATTAATACTTTTATAATTTCTTACGTCTATCTTTACTGCAATGTCTGAACATAAATTGTGAAGACTTCATGGACACTTATCACTTCCCCAATCAATATCCTTGTGATTTCTTATGCCTGTCTTTACTTTCATCTCTTAATCCCATCATCTTCGTAAGCTGAGGAGGATGAATGTCACCTCAGGACCCTGTGATAATTGTGTTAACTGCACAAATTGTTTGTAGAGCATGTGTGTTTGAACAATATGAAATCCGGGCACCTTGAAAAAAGAACAGGATAACAGCAATCTCAGGGAACAAGGGAGATAAGACTTGGAGTCTGACTGCCAGTGAGCCGGATGGAACAGAGCCATATTTCTCTTCTTTCAAAGGCAAATAGGAGAAATATCGCTGAATTCTTTTTCTCAGCAAGGAACATCCCTGAGAAAGAGAATGTGCCCTGAGGGTAGGTCTATAAATGGCCCCCCTTGAGGCGGCCGCCTTTTACAGTTGAAGCCGAAGGGATGAAATAAGCCCTGGTCTCCTGTAGCGCTCCCAGGCTTATTAGGACGAAGAAATTCCCACATAATAAATTTTGGTCAGACAGGTTGTCTGCTCTCAAACCCTGTCTCCTGATAAGATACTATCAATAACAATGCATGCCCGAAACTTCATTGGCAATTTTAATTTTTGCCCCATCCTGTGGTCCTATGATATCGCCCTGTCTCCATTTGCTTTGTGATATTTTATTACTTTGTGAAGTATGTGATCTCTGTGACCCACACCCTATTCGTACACTCCCTCCCCTTTTGAAAATTGCTAATAAAATCTTGCTGGTTTTACGGCTTGGAGATCATCATGGAACCTGCCGATGTGTGATGTCTCCCCCAGACCCCTAGTTTTAAAATTTCTCTCCTTGTACTCTTTCCCTTTATTTCTCAAACCAGCCGAGATGCTTAGGGAAATAGAAAAGAACCCACGATAAATATCAGGGGTGGGGTTTCACCCAATATTAATCAACTTATAGTTCTGCAGGCTTAATAGGAAGCATGACTAGGAGGTCTCAGGAAATTTACAATCATGGCAGAATGTGAAGGGGAAGCAAGTACCTTCTTTATATGGTGGCAGGGGAGAGAGAGAGAGAGCAAAGGGGGAAGTGCTACACACTTCTAAATGATCAGATCTCATGAGACATCACTCACTATCACGAGAACAGTAAGGGGGAAATCTGTCCCCATGATCCAATCACCTCCCACTGGGCCCCTCCTCCAATTCGACGTGAGATTTGGGCAGGGACACAAATCCAAACCATATCACCACCCCCTCCATGGTCTTTGCACACTTGGAACAACTTCCATTTCCCTCTAGGAAGCTCAGAGGCCTGTGGGGTTTGGCGGTTCACTCGCCTGAGATCAGCTCCTCAAGGAAGTCCCTGAGACCCCAGCACCGAGAAAACCCTTCCTCTCACCAAGTCACCCCCAAGGCTATGTTTGGTGACCATCACTGACCCTCCCCACTCTCCTAACAGGGCCTGGCACACCGTTGGCAGGAAGAAGCCTGACAGGAATTAAAAAACAGGAATGAATGAAGGTCAGAGAAAGCATCTTGCAATAGAAAGAAGAGAAGGAGGAATGGTCTAAAGACCAGAAATCAAAGCCTGACTTACCCATCTCAGCCAGTAAAATGTTACTCAGCTACTAGGCTGTTTGCCAAGCCTCAGGATCCTCATCTGCAAACCAGTGATCCTGTGATACTGTTGTAGAGACACTGCGTGCAAAGTAGACAAGCAGCTATAAGGGATGTCCGTGTCTCATTCCCTCCAAGCTCCTCAATATAGCCAGCCACCACAGGCAACTTTCTACAACCCAGACTGATCAGGTCATTCCCTGTTAAAAGCCTTCCACAGCAACCTGGATCACGGACACATTTCTTAGAAGCTAGACTGGACTTTGTGTTGGATGCCACGAAAACAATGGTGGCCTGACCATACGGCACTCACATCCAGCTAAGGGAACAGCCATGTCAAGAGTTAGTGTCAGGGGACTCAACTGTGAACCAAAGAGATATGGTGTCAGCCAAGATGGGGCTTACAGTACAGTAGGGAGGCCAGTAAGTAGACAGTGTTAATGCAGTATATCCAATAGGGACCATAACCTATTGGTTATGGTAATAGCATAGCATGGCAGGCCACCACAGGCGCAAAAAGGAAGCCACACCTAATCTAGGTGGAGTGCAGAAAAGACTTCCTGGAGAAAGGGCTTCCTGGCAGTGTTTTAAGGGATAAGTAGGAGTTTTCGAGGTGAAAGGAGGGTCTCTCCCTTCTCTTAGTTAGGGCTTGGGCCCCATTCATTCCCATCACAGTGGACTGGGGTTTTCTTCCCATATCATGGCAGGTCCACCCACCCCATGTGTCTAGGGTCCCACCTTCTTTTCAGGGTGTGTAGGAGTATTCTGGCTGTTGAAAAGGGACTATCCACACAGATGATGTCAGAACGTCTGAGCAGTTTGGGGACAGAGACTCTCCAGACCTGTGCTCCTCTCTTTGTGGGGTTTTTTTTTTGTTTGTTTTTTGTTTTGTTCTGTTGTTTTTGACAGGGTCTTGTCACCCAGGCTGGAGTGGCACAAACACTGCTCACTGCAGCCTTAACTTCCTGGGCTCAGATGATCCTCCCACCTCAGCCTCTGGAGTAGGTGGGACTATAGGCATGTGCCACCAAGCCCAGCTAATTTTTAAATTTTTTGTAGAGACAGGGTTTCACCATGTTGCCCAGGCTGGTCACAAACCCCTGGCTTCAAGTGTTCCACCTGCCTTGGTGTCCCAGAGTGTTAAGATTACAGGTGTGAGCTACCATGCCCAGCCTCTTTGTGGTCTGAAATCCAGGAAGTTCCTAGAGACACACTTCTCACAGCTGCCCTCACTCCAAGCAGGATTTAACACGGGAAGTGATAGCGATGATGCAGAGCAGCACAGTAATTGCTACAGATATTCTCTTTTTTTTACTATTACATATATATAGCGCAAATGTGACAGGCCTTAACATTAATATGAATATAGGGGTTGAACTGAGAGGAAACAAGGATAGTAAACACAATACTAGAAAACACCTATAATACTTACAATATGTCAGGCACCATTCTAAGTGCTTTATGTATTTTATCTCATCCAATCCTCACAACAACTCTACAATTCGAGTATATTATTATCCCCATTTTCCAAATAAGGAAGCTACACACAGACAGGCTAAGTAACTTGTCCCTGGTCACTCAGCTCACGGGATGACACCCAGGGTTCTAGTTTGGGTCCTTGGGTGAATGATAATTTTTTTTACAGTGATGGGAACATGGGTTGGAGCTTCAGGGCTGTGGATAGACGGTAAGTTTCCTTTCAGGCATGTAGAACTTGAGTTACCTATTTGTTAGCTCTCATACCAAAGCTTGGGTGATGGTTTTTAAGAGAGATCGAGTTAGAGTACAGAATTCCTAAAGGCTTTCTGTGGTTGTCTTTGGCCCAAAGGTACGTGTCCTAAGGTGCTATATTGAGGCATCATCGAGTGTCTTGCCCACTGGCACCCAATCCAGTCATGGTAGATCAGGTCAAGCCCACAGTGTTGGTCACAGAAGTGCCTCTGAAGTCTAAACACACTGCTCAGATGGGCCTGGTCCTTACAGCCAATGAAAGACAACTACTTGAGCATGAAACAGCTCTGAAGAATAAAAAAACCTCAATCTGGGTTTCCAAATCCTTGTGTCTCCTATACTAGTAAGCCAGGACTGCAGGACAACACATGGTCAAGGAGAACTGAAAATCAGGTCTGAGAGCATTTAGCCTGGCCTTGGGAGATTTCCTCCTAAAGAATCCTAAGCTTCTGGGGCCTTGATTTGCCTTCCATCTCAAGAATCCTAAGCTTCTGGGGCCTTGATTTGCCTTCCATCTCAAGAATCCTAAGCTTCTGAGGTCTTGATTTGCCAGGCAATGTCTAGCATCAATGTCAGGCAGAGGCTGGGGTTCCTGGTTTTAAACAGCCAAAACCTCCTTGTGAGATTTCCAAATGGAGAGGGGGACCTTGATGATGGGAAACCACCCATTAGGATCAATGGACAAAGATTGCTCCAAGACATTACTTTTACTTGTGGAAACTCTGGAGCAGGACTTCTGGTGTCTTTGTTTCTATCTTGGCTCATGCAGATATATGAGGAACATATGTCAGGGCCAGGGTTAGGCCCAGGACACCTTTGAAATGTTGCCATCCCTAGACAGTCCAGGAGACTGTTTACTTTGGGCCCTGTAAAGGACCTACCTCCTGCACTATAATAAAGATACACAGTTAACCTCATCATACCCTTTGCCCTTCACCCATGGTCATTAGTACACAGGGTCTGCTCAATCGTGTTTGTAACAAGGACCTGTTCATATCCTACTTCTGTAGTAAACCATTCTTCAAAGTGAAGTTCACCTGGGTACCATCTGCCACCCAGAGGCTAGACAACTGCCTCCTAGGTTACAAACTGTCCCCACACCTGCTCCTTGGTCTCCCTAGGAACCTCTACATGGACACCAGAATACTGGTGCTATCTTAGGAAATATTAACCACATTTATGGGCCAAAATATCACAATTTCTAGACATGCTTCTTCATTTTTAAGATGGGAGATGCTTGCTGCTCCCTTCACTGAGACTTCAGATTGGGCATCACACATGGTATAACTGACTGCTCAGGATATGCCAGGCCTTTTGCTGTATAGTGTCTGTTACCTCGTTTGGTGCTCCCAGCCCTGTGAGGTACGCATTATGCTCTGCATTTTTTCAGATGAGAAAACAGGCTTGGAGGTTGGGTATCTTTCCCAAGGACACCTGGAGAAGAGGGGGTAGAGCTGGGACGCGTCTGGATTCTCCGACTATGTCCTGAGAGCGGGATGTGAGTGACCTGAGCCCTCGCGAGACCCCGCCCCCGCCCGCAGCAGGTGGCCGGGAACAGCCGAGAAGAAAGCCCTGCCAGCTCTCCCGGGTGCGGGGACGCGCGCGCCCACCTTCGCGGAGACTTCCGGGATCCCGGAGGGGGCGGAAGTCGAGGCCTCTTTCGCTTCCGGCTCGGCCATTGTTTTTGCTTTAACTGGCAGTAGAGGTGTCCGGCTTCGGGGCCGAGTGCCACTGCGAGTGGGCCGGGGCGCGGAGGGAGGCGCGGCCGGAGCTCGGGTGGCCGATGCTGGCCCGGACCGCGCTTCTTCGCGGCAGCAGGCGGCGCGGTCCCCGTGACTCTCAGAAGCCGCCCAATGTGGAGCCGCTTCTTTGTCCCATACCCCTGACCATTCGTGCGTGGCACGGAGCCGGGTATCTGCGGGTACAGCGATGAACAGGGCAGACGTGGCCAGGTGAGCGGCGCTGCTGAAGCCTGGTGTAACACGAAAGGTAGATCGCTGTTTTCCCAGCTCTTGCAGTGGGAAACTGTATGAACCGTCAGATTTGGGTTAGACCCAAGCTCAGAATCGCAAACGTGGAGCGTGACTTGGAAATGCAAAAATCCAATTGAGATTTTAAAGTGCGGAGCATTCGGAACACTATGGGAAGTAGGAGAATGGCCTGAACTTTCTACACGTGTGGGATCTTAGAGCAGAGTTTACAGATTATTTTAAAGTCCTTCTTTGTCTTTTTAAAGAGATTGAGAGGGGGATCTGGGACGCTTGGTGATTTGGAAGCACAGCACAGATGCCCTAGTTACCAATAAGGTGCTGATTTTCAAACGTTCAAAGTTTTCCTCCACTTCAGTATCAGTTAAATGTATCATATTCATTCGTTTCCCAATTATGTGTGCCATGTACACACGTGGACAAAGATGACTGGAAGTTAGCTCTGCCCTTTGTATCCTCCCAGAAAGCAGGGGAGACAGTCGTGTAAACCACAAACGATTACAGTGTGAGACGTGCTCTACTAGAGGTTTGAATGAAAAAGGTAGTTTGGGATTGCTGAGATGATAACCACCCGTCTAAGCCTAGCGTGGTCAGGAAGGCTTTCTAGGGGAGGTGCATTGAGTAAAAAAAGGTCTGGTATTTTCTGATTCCATTTGGTTCCTTTCCTTTGGTGGCCATCCAGCAGTTTGGAGGATGAGAGTGGTGAGTTGGGCATAAACCAGTTAAAGGGTTATAGTGAGAGGTACACAAAGGGAAGCTACCAGCACTCTTCCTGATGGGGCAATCAGAAAAACCGAGAAAAAATTGCCTTTGTTCATGATCTTGACAGACAAATTTGTCAAAAGTTGAAGAAGAAAAATTCAAAGAAAGAGTATGTGTGGCTTCTAGCTGTGTCTCTAGAGCTCTAGCTCCAAAGTTTCTTTATTTTGCATTTCTATCAGAAGAGGTTTGGTCACCTACTCCCTACATTGGTTTATTTGTAATTTAAACATGAGTACTACTATACAAATTGTAATGCACATTATAAAACATACATTAAATGGGAGTTAAATAACTTAGTATTTTCTCTTGCACCCTTTGGGGTATTCTGCATTTCCCACATTGGAGACCATTGCTGTCTTTCTTGCATGGGTACTTGGGGTGAGTGGTTGGGGTTGTGGCTGGTTGTGAAGTGGGTAAGGCCAGGTGGTGAAGGGCTGTGAATGCGAGGCATAGACCTTTAGATTTTATCCTGTAGGTAATGGGAGCCACTGAAACTTTAAGAAGGGCATCATTTGGAGAGATGCTTAGCGAGAATGCCCAGTTGTGTTCTTTTTTCCTGGAACTTTGTTTTTTGACTCAGTGGAGGATTGTCATCAGCCTGGGGCTGAATATTCCAAGAACTCTGATTTCACTCTTGTTTCTGTAGGCAACACTACCATCACCCTTTTCTCCAACCCTGAAAAACAGCTCCTGAGACCTGAACTATAGACCATCATTTTAATCGGACCAATTGCAGCTGGAACAAGCTTCTCTTTGGGGTCACAATGACCACTTCAGGCAGGGGAAATTTAGGCCTCATCCCCAGGAGTACTGCTTTCCAGAAGCAGGAGGGGCGCCTGACTGTGAAGCAGGAGCCAGCGAACCAGAGCTGGGGGCAGGGCAGCAGTCTCCAAAAGAACCATCCTCCTGTCTGCGAAATCTTCCGGCTACACTTCAGACAATTATGTTACCACGAGATGTCTGGGCCACAGGAAGCGTTGAGCCGGCTCCGGGAGCTCTGCCACTGGTGGCTTATGCCAGAGGTGCACACCAAGGAGCAGATCCTGGAGCTGCTGGTGCTCGAGCAGTTCCTGAGCATCCTCCCTGGGGAGCTCCGTACCTGGGTGCAGCTGCATCACCCTGAGAGTGGTGAGGAGGCTGTGGCTGTGGTGGAGGATTTCCAGAGACACCTCAGTGGACCAGAGGAGGTGAGCAGTTGGGTTTAGAATGGCAGCCTGATGCTTCTCTAGTGCTTGGGTTAGCCTAGGCATGGGACCTAGGCCAGGCCCTGGGCCAGTTTGCCTTAAGGGTTCCTGAACTTGTCCTGTGGATAGAGGGAAAACAGTTTTGTGCTCCAAGCCATAAATACAAATGCGCATCCCAGCTAAGCTGTGTGATTCACCTTGTGAGATACTGTGTTCTGAGCCTAGCTTCATCCTGGGGATTTGCATGGTACTCCTGGCCGGCAGGGGATCTTCATGCTGGTTAGAATAGGGTGATCAGGGGAAGGCGGACTTTTGGGTATGCTGATAATACGGGCCTTCATTTGAGACATTCTGTTTGCTCACTTCCTTGGACTTCTCAGAGTCAATTTTCTATTTTCCTGCCTCTTTGATTCCTTGAAAGGTGACATTTTGGGGCCTTGTAATTATTTATTCCTTTTGCTAGCTCTCCAAACCTAACTGGGATCTTTTTGCATCTTTAAATCTAATTTAAGTTTTCCCTATTTCCTGGAGTTCTCGCAAATGTAATGGCAAGGTAATTTAAACTAGAGGGATAGTTGGGAAGAGTGAGCAGTAAGACACATTGGAAAATCTGGTTTCTAGGACCATAATGCCATCTAGCTCTGTGATCATGTGTTTCAGTCAGTGTTCAGTGAGAGAGGTAGAATGAGTAGGAGAGAGGTGTGTGTGTGTGTGTGTGTGTGTGTGCACGTGCATGTGCATGTGTAAAGAGATTTATTGCTGACTGGGCACAGTAGCTCATGCCTGTAATCCCGGCACTTTGGGAGGCCGAAGGGGGTGGATCACTTGAGGTCAGGAGTTTGAGACCAGCCTGGCCAACATGGCAAAGCCCAGTCTCTAACAGTACAAAAATTTGCTAGGTATGGTGGCATGTACCTGTAATCTCAGCTACTGGGGAGGCTGAGGCAAGAGAATCACTTGAAGCCAGGAGGCAGAGGTTGCAGTAAGCCAAGATCACGCCACTACACTCCAGCCTGGGTGACAAACCGAGACTTCATCTCAAAAAAAAAAAAAAAAAGATTTATTGCTAGTAAGTGGCTTATGTAATTGTGAGGCTGGCCATGCAAGTCTGAAACACATAGGCAGGCCATCGACAAGGGCAGCCCAAAACAGTGGCACAAGCTGAAGCTGCAGTGCACAGGTGGAGTTTCTTCTTTCTTCTTTGTCCTTTTCCTTTCCTCTTTTGTCTCCTTTCTTCTTTCTCTGGTTTTTTTTTTTTTTTTTTTTTTTTTTTTTTTGAGACAGGGTCTTGCTCTGTTGCCTAGGCCAGAATGCAGTGGCATGAACATGGTTCACTGCAAGCTCAGCCTCCCGGCTCAAGTGATCCTCCCACCTTAGCCTCCTAAGTAGCTGGTACCACAGTCATGTGCCATCACACCAGGCTAATTATTATTATTATTATTTTTGTAGACATGCGGTCTTGGTATGTTGCCCAGGTTTGTTCTTGAATTCCTGGCTTCAAATCTTCTTGCCTTGGCTTCCCAAAGCACTGGGATTACAGACATGAGCTACCACACCTGGCCTGGAATTTCTTCTTCATGGAACTTTTAGCTCTGCTTTTAAGGGCTTACAACTGATTGAATCAGGCTCATGCATTCATTCATTATCTAGTATAATCTCCCTTACTTAAAGTAAACTTATTATGTACTTTAATCACATTTTTAAAATAGTGTACAGCAACACCTGTATTGATGTTTGATTAGTACCAAGTTGACACATCAAAAGATCATCACACCATGGATAAGCTAGTTCTTCCTAATGAGTTTTAAATTGTTCCCCTATAATAGAAGCAGGGTAGACTAGAGGTCCCCTCTACTTTATCCATTTGTACTTTATCAGGGGAAAACAGTACAGAAAATTTCCCAAGTTCCCAATATATCATTTTATTCAATGCTTTTTTTTCCTGAGATAATCTCACCCTATTGCCCAGACTGGAGTGTGGTGGCACAATCTTGGCTCAATGCAACCTGTGCCTCCTGGGCTCAAGTGATCCTCCTACCTCAGCTTCCTTAGTAGCTGGGATCATAGGTGTGAGCCACCACACCTGGCTAATTTTTGTATTTTTAGTAGAGATGGGGTTTCACTATGTTGTCCAGGCTGATCTTGAACTCCTGAACTCAAGAGAGCCACCTGCCTCATCCTCCCAAAGTGCTGGAATTACAGGTGTGAGCCACCACACCCAGCCTATTCAATGCTTTTTAAAAAATGATTACATATCACTAGGGAATCAGTTCTAGTTGATCAGGATCCTGGGGCTAGACATTTTTCCAGGATTATCAGCAGTACACATTTGTCATTATCAACCATCATTTTCTTTGTGTAAATAAGTAAGCACATATGAGTAAATCAGCTGTCACAAGGGTCTAGAGAGCAGCTGAGCCAGCCATGGCAATGACAGGTGGCTGAAGACATATTTAGAGAACCATTTAGTGAGGGTGGCAGAAGGAAAATTTCCCTATTTCTTGCTTGGTTTTGCTTAAGAAGTGAATGCTTCCTCCATTAAAATTTCTAGTGCTTTATCCAGCTAGCCTCAGAAAAGGGTGACTGTTGAGTCACAACCCAAGAACATGACTAACAGTTGACAGGTGAGGCAGCTGAATGCTCATGGCTCCAGCCTGGGAATAGGGTCTCTGGAGTCCATTTCTTACTCTCCCACTACTGTCAGTGTTGTTTTCTGACATGAAGACATAAGGGCAGTACTGTCTTTCATCGGTAGGGGTTCAGAAAATGTTTACAGAATGGCTAAATGAATAAACAAAGCTTTTCCATGGAAGTTTGCCAAGAGGAGATAAAGGAGGGTCCAGGTAAATTGGAGTCATTTTGCTTATCAGGAGCAAGCCACTTTATTGCTGCAGAAGGAGCATGTACATGTGTGCACATTGTGGCTGGGAAAGGGTTGTACAGTGATCCCTACTGGGCTGCAGAGTCATGCAACTTGCAGAATTTTTTTGTTTCCTGTATCTTTTTCTTTTTCTTTTTTTTTTTTTTTTTGTTTGAGACAGAGTCTTACTCTGTCGCCCAGGCTGGAGTGCAGTGGCACGATCTCAGCTCACTGCAAGCTCCGCCTCCTGTGTTCACACCATTCTCCTGCCTCAGCAGGAGTATGCTGGGACTACAGGTGTCCACCACCATGCCCAGCTAATTTTTTGTAGTTTTAATAGTGACAGGGTTTCACTGTGTTAGCCAGAATGGTCTCGATCTCCTGACCTTGTGATCCGCCCGCCTCGGCCTCCCAAAGTGTTGGGATTACAGGTGTAAGCCACCGTGCCTGGCCTGTTTCCTGTATCTTTTTTCATCTCCTGCCAGGGTTACAAAACAGGCAGTGCAGTAATCATTATCTCCACTTGACAAGTGAAGTGAGCACCCGTAGTAAGCATTCCCTTGCCCAAAAGATTTAGCTGAAGTGTGGTTGTTTCTGATTACCATCAAATGTGAGGACCAGGATTTTCCATCTCCCTAGTTTCTAAGCCAACAGCTTTTCTCTAGGGTCTTGCTGTGGAATGCTGTATTAGAATGAGTTTTTCATGTTTTCAAGGAAAGGAAACCTATGATTCTGTATTAGTCTGTTTTCACACTGCTATAAAGAACTACCTGAAACTGAATAATTAAGAAGAAAAGAGGTTTAATTGGCCCACAGTTCCACAGGCTTAACAGGAAGCATGACCGGGAGGTCTCAGGAAACTTACAATCATGGCAGAAGGCAAAAAGGAAGCAAAGACCGTCTTCACACTGTGGCAGAAGAGAATGCAGGGGGTAGTGACACATACTTTTAAATGATCAGATCTCATGAGAACTCACAAGAACAGCAAGGGGATATCCACCCCATGATCCAGTCATCTCCCACCAGGCCCCTTCTCCAATTCGATGTGAGATTTGGGTAGGAACACAAATCTAAACCATTATTATTCTGCCCCTGGCCCCTCCCAAATCTCACGTTCTTCTCACATTGAAAAATACAATTATCCCTTCTCAACAGTCCCCCGGACTTAACTCATTTCAGCATTAACTCAAAAGTTCACAGTCCAAAGTCTTATCTGAGACAAGGTAAGTCCCTTCCACCTATTAGCCTGTAAAATCAAAAACTAGTTAGTTACTTCCCAGATGCAATGGGGATATAGGCATTGGGTAAATGCTACCATTCCAAATGGGAGAAATTGGCCAAAACAAAGGGGCTACATGTCCCATGCAAGTCCAAAACTGAGCAGGGTAGTCATTAAGTCTTAAAGCT